TGAAGAAACACCTCAAACATAGATCCTGAATCATGAAGCAGGGGGGTTTTGAGACGTCTCAAAACTGCGTTTAAAGGAGTTTTTGAGAATTCTCAAAAACTCCCCTCAAACATAGCTCCTGAATCATGGGGGAGGGGGAGGGGGAGGGGATGTGGACGGGGAGGGAGAGGGGGGCCGAAAGGGGCAGGTAGCGGAGTAGACTTTGCAGCACCTCTAATCATCCCTTACACTGCCCTCGAAATCAGGAGCAAAAGCAGCAGCAAAGGTAGCCCTCAATCATCCCTACAGGGCAGCAGCAAGAGCAGCAGCAAGGGCCGCAGCAAGAGCAGGAACAGGAGCAGAAGCAGGAGCAGGAGCAGCAGCAAGGGCAGCAGCAAAAGCAGGAACGGGAGCAGAAGCAGGAGCAGGAGCAGGGGCGCACCAGCAGGTCAGCTTGTCGCTCCTCTTCTGTGCGCTTGCCTCGGTGCTCTACAGAGAAGGAATCCGTGTTGCAGAAGGGACAGCTGCGAATGATGAGGATAGGGGCGAGTGGTGAGGAGAGGGGCGAGCAGGAAGGCAAGTATGTGTCACACAAGGCTGCATGTCACCCACTGGGTGCTCGACAGAGAATGCGGTTGTGTTGCAGAAAGGGCAGCCGCAAGGGTTGAGGTGAGGGGCGAGAAGCAAGGCAGGAATGTGTAACACACAAGGCTCCTTGTAACTTACTGGGTGATGTGCATTACACAGTTGGTCAGATCAGATCAGATCAGATCAGTGCGGTGAGAAGAGGTGAGGTGAGGTGAGATGAGGCAGTGAAGGTGAGAAGGTATGTAAGGTGAAGAAAGCAGAGGACCTACCGGGAGGGGCAGGGAAGAGATTCTGTCATGCCGAGATAGCAGTCTGCATGCGAAGGGGTTTACGCAGAGACACCAGACAGGTAGACTGGGTAAAGGGCAAAGGAGAGACTGAGAAAGTGGTTGTGCACGTTTTTTTAGTCGATTTTTGAGACTGAATGAAGGGGTTCATAAGTAGGTAGGTACCGATTTTCGAGTCGACTCAAAAAGCAGTTCATAAGGAGGTGCACGAAAATCAGAGTTTTGAGTTAAAAAAAAAAAAAAAAAAAACAACAACAACAACAACAACAAACAAACAAACAATTCCTCGAGTGGAGGAGGTTTAGAAGGACAGGAGGTGCAGAGGAATCAAAAGAATGAAGATATGACGGTGCAGGGAAACAGGGTAGTGAAACTGAGTGTAAACAGTGGGCTTGAGCGTCAGCAGAGCAGTCAAGCACGTGTGCAGTCACCCACCTGTGCACAGCCGTTTCTTGCAGCATCTCGCCGTGTTCAGGCTGGGGTAGTTCTGGAGCACGGGAAGGTGGGTGCGTGGGACAAAAAATCAAGCAAAGGATGTGTGGCGTTTTGGCGAAGCGAACAAAGACGACCTCGTTTGTATCACGAAACGAACTCTCCAGGGCGACGAGATTCACCGGGCACACGTCAAGTTGAGAGAGTTTGAATAAAAAAAGACCCCGTTGACTTTGAGAGTCGATTAAAAGTCAAGTCGGAAACAGCGAGACTTACCAGGAAGCAGTTTGGACAACGATTCTTAAAAGTGACACAACTAGGGCGAATGGAATTAATGTACCAGGAACGATCCGTCTTACGAGGAAGCAGATGGGACACTCGTCGAGGTCGTCGCTAGGTTCATCCCGGCCCGCGTCGCGCGGCGCGAGTCCCTCGGCCATGCCTGCGCGAGAGGCTCGAGAGAGTGCGATGAGGGTGCTTCCGCGACCCGCGCGAGGCGCGTTTGTTTGCGCGAGCCAAGTGCGTGCGTACGGTGATACTGTCGGGATGCTTGCCGTGCTCGAAAATCCCTGTGTGACACTCGCAGGTTGGAGCTTGCGAATGCAACAGGCAGGCAACGTTCGAGAGCACTCCTTCGGGTCCGAGCTCTGCTTTTGCTATACCGTCGTGATTCGCTACCACAGCCCTGCTCGCTCGTCATGACTGCCATTGCTTTCATACAGCCTAGCATGCGCTCGAAATGTCGGGCTTCCAATGACTGCCACGTGGAGCTTGGGGTCGCCTTAGGGCGTGGTGAGGTCGAACATGTCTGCTGCACGTATTATGGCCGTGACCACGGCGCTTGCGTTTTGTGCGATTCACCGTTTTGAACCGCTATTAACCAGCCTGAACATGAACTACAAATTAAACTTATAAATTGAACGAAACTCTTGGTACGTGGGTGTTTGGTCTAGTGGTATGATTCTCGCTTTGGGTGCGAGAGGCCGCGAGTTCGATTCTCGCAACACCCCGTTTTCCTTATGGGATACTGTATTTTGTTTCCTGTTTCAGCTCTTTCAGTGAAATCTACTACTGGTACCGGAATGTGGCTCAGCCCTCTTAGTCTTGATCTCCGTTTTGTTGTAGACGGTTATGACCTCTCTCCGTCCTCCACCAAATACATGCAATGCAGCTAAACCAATTTCGTTGATTGACTTCCTCCGCACATACATCATTCGCCTCCATCTACACTACTTTCTATGGCTGGTTGAGTCATGCACCATCTTCTCCCATGTATCTATGTTCAGCCCCGCACACTATTCACACGAGGCTACACAAGCAAAAGGCACCATGCTTCCTCCTCCACTACCTCTCAGACTCCTTGGTAACTTCTCCAGTCTCCAGGGTCTCCTCTGCTGCATCTCCTGCCCACCATGATCTCCCACAATTAATCTCAACCACCCTGCACAGCCACACACCTCACGCTACACATGAGGAAAACATCACCCTCTCCTCCACCATCTCTCAGGGTCCTTCACATCACCAGTGTCTCCTCGGATTCCTGCTCTCCTGCACAGTGTTCTCCCACACCAACGCTCAGCCCAGCACAGCCATACACGTCAGGCCACACATGAGACGACGCCTTGCCACCTCCCCCACCTCCTCCACCTCCTCCTCCTCTTCCTCGCGCTCGCTGCACTACAGACGGCACCCTTCCAAACAGCCACTTCCCCCCTCCAAGCAGCTGACCACTCCAAGCCTGCCACGTGTGCTCTGCCCTCCCACCCCCACCCCTCACCCTCTGCTTACACACACCCACCACCTCTCCACCCATCTCCACCTCCTTGCAGTCCTCCCCTCCCAACCTCCCATCCACCCTCTGTTTTTCCACCCGAACTGGCCCAGAAAAGTTGAAAAGTTTCTCCAAGTCCTCATCATCATCAACAGAGCTCTCACCATCATGTGAGGTCACACGCACGCAGTTGCTCACTGTCCCCTCCTCCTGCTGCTGCTGCCCCTCCATCCCAACCCCACCTGGTTGAATCGCCTCGAGCTCCCCTATAAGCTGACTCAGTATCACCCGGCGTGCCTGTGCGGCCAATGCGTGCTGATTGGTGGATATCACACCTGCTGCATCTGCTGTAGCCCTGTGTAGCGCTGAACTTGGGAAAAGGTCGATATCGGCTGTTGTAACAGCTGTGGCGGATACTGAAACAGCTTGCAACGAGGACAGCAGGTGAGTGAGAGGGAGCCCTTGGGATTTCAGCCCTGTCTTGTCAGGGCAAGGCCCGTCACAGCCGTTGCAGTTGATGCACTTGTTGCTGTTGCTGCTGCTGTTGATATCACTCAGGTCGTGACTAAAGGCAAGTGTTCTTGTATCGGAGCCATGCAGCTTGCCAGTCTGGAGAGGGGTGGTTCTGGGAAACACCAGGTTGTGACTGTAAGCAGTGTGACTGTGCACAGCGTCACGGTAAGGCTGGTGGGAACTCCCAAAAGGATAACCATCCTCTCTACAGGCGGCCTCGTTTTGCATACAATATCCCCCTTCTCCCATCTCCATTCCCTCTTGTGGCTTCCCCTTCCCCTCCTCCTCTTGTCGCTCCCCCTTCTCCCCATCGAGTTCGCCTGTATGCTTCTGCTGCTCCTCTTCTTTCTGCCCCTGTCTCCCTCCCTTTCGTCGCCAAACGCTGCTAATGCTCTTCGACAAAACAAGCAAAGGAAACCGAGTGTTCACCCATTCCCCCTCACCACGTCCTACACTCCTAAACGTGGGTGACTTCAAACTTTGCCAGGCTTTTGACCCCTGAAAAGAGAGGGTTCTACCTGTTTCTACTCTCAACACTCCCATGCTTGCGCGTTTCCCCAGCTCCCGCCGCGCCTCATGCCCCCAATCTCCGCCTCTTTCCGCCACTCCTCGCGCGCGCTTCTTATTCCAGCTGCATTCCCCCACGACTTCCCCGCCCGCTTGCGCCTCTCCTGTTTCCGCCTCCCCCGCTTCCTCCTCCCGCTGCGCGTCCCTGAGTCGCATTTTCTCCAGCTCCTCTATCAACTGCGACAGCGTGCGACGTCGCGTGCGACCAGATTGCGATCTACATCCCAACGAACGTTCCGTCGCAGGTTCGCGAACGTCGTGGCTGTTACTGCGATCGGGAGAGCGAGGCGAGGGAGAAGACTCGCCTTCGCTGCGCGATTCTCCTTCTGCGCTGCAGCCGCTGCAGCCGCCGCCGCTGCCGCTGCCGTTGCAGCCGCTGCTGTTGCTGCCGCTGCCGTTGCAGCCGCTGCCGCTGCCGCTGCCGTTGCTGCCGCTGCCGTTGCTGCCGCTGCCGCTGCCGCTGCCGCTGCCGCCGAGGCCGTGGTATACATCGTCCAATCTGCTGCTGCTACTAGTACTAGTATTAGTATTAGTATCGGTGAAACTAGTATTAGTACTAGTATTACTTTCTCCCAGCCAATCGCGTCTTCCCGGTCCGCCAATCCCTCCGCGGTCGATTGCGGAGGGATGCGGAGCAGCAGCGGGGCGGAGCGCGCTGAACTGCCGCGCCAACGCCACAGCCGGGGAAGGCACAAGGCTGGTCGGCGGAAGCGAAGGAGAGGGGGGGAACGCGGAGGTGGGTCGGCGGGGTTTAACCGGGCGTACGCTGGCTCCTCGGAGAATCGGAGGATCGGCGGGTTTTGCGCTTGCGCCCGTTGCGGAAGCGCTGGCGCAAGGAAAAGCGGAAGGCTGTGCGCGCATGGGGGGCAGGGGGAGGGACGCAAGGGCGGCGGAAAAGGGGCGGAGAGACGAGATGGGGGGAGTTGGGGACGGGCCCGTTGCGTCGAATACCGCTTCCTTCGCCTGCGGCGGAGGCTCTACCACGTCTGCTGCTGCTGCTGTTGCTGCTCCCGCTTTCCCTCCGCTCCGCCCTGCACATTCCCCGTCTGCTCCCGCTTCCCGTCCGCCCAGCCCTGCACACTCCCCTTCCGCCCCCCCTTCCCCTCCGCTCAGCCCCACACATTTCCCCTCCGGCCCCCCTTCCCCTCCGCTCAGCCCCGCACACTCCCCTTCCGCTCCCGCTTCCCCTCTGCTCAGCCCCACACACTCCCCCTCCGCCCCGGCTTCCCCTCCGCTCAGCTCCGTGCTGCCTTCCGCTCCCGCACCTGGAGACAGCTCTTGCGCCCCTGCCGCACCCTCCCCCGCCACCCGTTCCTCCGGGACAGGTCCGACAATGGCTGGCTCGGAGTGGGCTGGTTCGGAGCGGGCCGGCTCGGCGAGAATTGGTTCGACAGGGTGTAATTCTGCCTGCACTGACGGCGCGGGCTCTGGATCCGCCTTTAGCGGTGGCTTGGTCGGAAGGTCGGAAGACGAGTCATCTCTTTGGGCTGAGAGCACGTGGACATGTAACGCTGTATCACGGTCGTGTAACACCCTGATGGCTCCGTCTTGTAACGCTGTGGCTCCGTCTTGTAACGCTATGGCTCCGTCTTGTAACGCTGTGGCTCCGTCTTGTAACGCTGTGGCTCCGTCTTGTAACGCTGTGGCTCCGTCTTGTAGCGCTGTGGCTCCGTCCTGTGCAAGTGCAGCACCGTCTTGTACAAGTGTGGCAGAGTCATTATCAGCTGCTGACTCGCTAGCGGCGGCATTATCGGCATCGACAGAAGCAGCGTTATCCTCACGCGCACCTGCAGCCGCAACGGTCAACTCATCGACTCGAGGCCCCACGAACCCCAAACGGCTAGCGCTTGCCGTCGAATCGCCAACATCCAGTGCATTGCCTTCAGAGGCACCTACGGCCGCAAGAGTCGACTCATGGACTCGCGCATCCTTCTCTAACTCTCTCGCCGCCTCTTGAGGCCTCTCAGATCCTGAATCGTTAGCGCTTGCTGCGGAATTGCTAACACTCACAGCGTTACCTTCACTCGCGCCAGCTGCTGTGTCGGCCGACTGATCGACAGCCGTAAGATTATCTTCACTAGGACCTGCTGCGGTCGATTCATCGACAGCCGTCAGACTACCTTCACTAGCGCCTGCTGCAGGAACGGTCAACTCATCGACTTGAGGCCCCTCAAACCCCGATTCGGTAGCGCTTGCTGCGGAAATGCAAGCATCCGCAGCATTACCTTCAGTGGTACCTGCTGCTGTAACGGTCGACTCATCAACTCGCGAAGCCATCGCTAACGCCCTCTCCGCCTCCTGAGGCTCCTCAGACCCTGATTCGCTAATGTTTGCTGGAGATCTGCTAACGACCGCAACAGCCGGAATATCTTCACTAGCACTGGCTGTTGTAACGGTCAACTCATCGACTTGAGGTCCCTCAAGTCCCGATTTGCTCGTGTCTGCTGCGGAGTCGCTAGTAGCAGCAGCATTACCTTTAGTGCCACCTGCTGCTGTAACGGTCAACTTATCAACTCGCGAAGCCATCGCTAACGCTCCCTCCGATTCTTGAGGCCCCTCAAACTCCACTTCGCTAGTGTTTACTGCGGTAACAGCGCCTTCTGCCGCAACGGTCAACTCATCGACTCGCGCATCCGCCGACGCTGACGTTTCCTCCATGAGTGCTCAGAACAATTCCACCCGCTCGCTTCTCGCTTCTCGCTTCTCGCTTCTCGCTTCCAGCTTTCCTCAGCAAGCTTCCGCTTCGATCTTCTGCGGATCTGTGCCCTGTTCGGCGAACTCGGCGCGATTCGCAACACAGTCGTCCGAGACCAGGCAGCGAGGGAGAGTCACAATGCTGCATTCACCATGCCGGCATCTCCTAAGTCACATTCTTAGCATCTGCGGCGCATTTGGGAACGTCCCGGCTAAGACGCTACAACAACCCGTCACCTCGCATCGTTGTATGCTGCAGTGGGCTAACCAATTCCCCGAGCTCTGCTGTAGTCACGCGACGCGAGATTCCTGGGTGCAGGCTGCATTGCACACTGATGTATGGGTGATGGATGGAACACTGCGCAACACAATGTATGCAAGGAAGGAAGCAATGGATGAAAATCAAGACGGAACAAATGTGTGACTGTGATGCTGCGTCGCGCTCATGGAGGTGATTTGATGTGGCTCGTGCCATGCATTGCTGATGCGGGGGGAAGGGAGTGTAGGAAATCAATGCTGGGAGGAAAGAAAACTATTTGAGAGCCAAATGGCGCGACGCGCGAAAGTCGTGGCCGAATCGGGCCCCTTGTGCGCACAGAATTGCCGTGCCGTTGCGATTCTTGAACAGGTCACTGACGCTGGGCTTCAAAGTGATTGTATTGAAATGATGAGTATGTACACCGATCAATGTTAACCAACTTACAGGTTTATTGACCTTTATGTTAAGCATACCATAGATATGCTCAGAGGCTGTTGGGTTGTGACAGATATATACATTTATTGTGCTGATACAAAGCTAGAAAAGATAAATGGACAGCCTGCAATCTCTCCTACTCGCACACAAGCAGGAGCTATTCCACTGGTGGCACAACCCACCTATCCACACCATGTGCTTTGAGAAACACCCCATTATGCACGTTGGGAATTTTCACCGCTGCCCAAGTAAACAGCTTCGTTCCCGGCTGGCCAAGGGCTACACTGAACCTTAAGTTGAACTTGGTCAAGTTTGCACCTTCCAACAATGTTGGAATCTGGGCGTTACGTGGCAGCTGGCGCAGCTGACGGAGCGTGTACAGCCCATTGATGATGTTATATGAGAGTGTACGCACCCACTCAGTTCCGTTGTCCCAAACTCGCAGCAGGGTGTCGATTAATGCCTGGTTGGATGGAAGTAATATGGTTGTGTTCTGGACAAGGGTGTAGTTGGTATTGGGATCCTCAACTGGAGGGAAAGGGGAAACACAGAGAAAGGAAGGGATGGGAGGGAAGGCACAGGGAATGAACGCGCAGATAACGAGCAGATAGCTAACATGGGAGTGATGGGAGACAAAGGAAAGCGGGTGAACTAGGACTTGATGAGGCGTGAGTGCAATACCGGACCCTTGGAAAATCCTTCAATCTGGAAAGAAGCAGTAAGTTGGAAGGGAAACAGAAGCAGGGGGGAAATCATGAGGGGGACGAACAGGAGACATATGTGGAGAAGGAAACAGAGTTCAGAAGCACATCTGAAGAGCGTGGCATGTGCAGCAGTGACATGGCATAGCATGCTCACATCAAGCCAAGTCACATCTGGTGAGAAGTCACACTCCTTGCTCACCTCACCATCATGCAAGGCGTCGTCAAGGAACGGTTATATCAAGTCACATTGAACATGGACAGGGTGTATGTGCGTTAGTGTGAGTGAGTTCAGAGCAGAGACCCTCACTCTATAAACGTAGTGTTTTGAGACGTCTCAAAACACTAGTTTTATCACGTCGTCAAGGAACGGTCATAGAGTCAGGTCACACTGAATATGGACAGGGTGCATGTGCGTTAGTGTGTGAGTGAGTTCAGGGCCAAGACCCTCACTCGCCCGTTCAAGGAGCCTTGCGGCGACGGAGTAGCGAGGCCTGGCAGCAGCGGCGAGTTGAAGGCCAGCGACCTCCTCCCGCATCTGCTCGTTCGTGGGGGATGCCGCGTCTGCCTGCTGCACAGCTCCGGGCGATAGCAGGATCACCAGAAGCAGCAGCAGATGAGGAAGAAGAAGGAGAAGCGAGGGAGAACGAAACGGACGAGGAGGATGAGAATAGAGATCCATGCTTGCGATCAACTGTACGCTTTATTTCTTGCTTTGGTATTTTGCTTCTTAAAGGTGTTTGGGGCGACGAAATCAGCGATTCTTGAAACGTGTTTCTCGTGAATACACAAAGCGGTCGTAACGCGGCTTATGAAAAAGACGGACTAACCGAACCCTCCAAGCGCTCGGCGCCCTCAAGAACGAACCCTCGAGTCGCGGGAGGGACTTTCTGGTGAAAGCTCGAAGACTTCCGCGCTCACCTCCCCTCTTCCGCATCGCGGCGATTTCGAGAGGGCCCTCCTGGGAAAATCCCTAGTAGCGCCAAGCCCTCATGCCGTGCCACCCCGCATCGCTACCCTCCGAGGGTAGTCGCACGCACGCACGTGCAGTAGTCGTAGTCGCAGCCGCCATGACGGTGGACGGTTGCTGTTTTGTCGTATCTGTAAGGTTTTCTGTCGTTGCGTGGCCGACTACGTCGCCTTCACCACGCCGCCCCATTCTCCTCCTATTGGTTCGTATAATCTCGCTCATCTGTTGTCGGAGGAGTCGCTTGATTAGGTTAGGCTTGAGTTTTCTTATCTCAGCCTTCCCTGGTCAATTGTCGTTGGTGTTGTCGCTTACGACGGGTTACCTTTTTCAGTTGTCGCCTGTCGCCGCCACGTCTAGTTGCGAGAGAGTACCTGCCGACCACTCGTGCGTGGAATGCAGCAACACTGGCACTCGTGTGGTGTTATAACGAGTATTCGCAGTGGTTCGGCAAGAGTGGCTTTTGCTTGTAGGTCGTGTTAAGGTATCTCACCAGATCAGTTTATTTCTACAACTTCTTATGTTTAAGCGAAAAGTACTAACATAACAAACTGGCACACATTTACAGCTAAGGCAAGCAGCTTCACCACAGCATTGCAGAGCTCGCCTGATTATTCAAGAGGTTGCAAAAATTCACAAGCAGCGATATTGTACACCCCTGATAAAAACACAAGGCGGCTCGGCTCACCCGACCACGTTTATTCCTGAAGAAAAGGAAAATTGAAGGGAACATCCAAGTGAGTGCATGCCAAAAAAAATACAGTTGAAAAAGTTTATAATGTACCAAACCACTGCCAAGAAGTACATTTGAGACTGTAAAGAGGATATGCTCTTACTGGTGCAGATTTGATTGCCTTGCGGAAGATGAAGCCTGGCCGTGTGCTGTTACGTATGGCCCGCCAGTATGCGAGAAGGATGACGGCCGGCCGCACTGGTGAGGAGTAGAGGCAAACGGAAGAGAGAGAGAAGCAGAGAGAGAGGGACCGGTTAGGAAGGGACAAGGGTTCATGAAAGGACAAGGGTTACGGCCCAACAGTGACAGAGAGGGCCTGGTGCTTGAATGACCTGGTAAAACATTGGTGGGCGTGGCAATGCGTGGATTTATCTGTGAGGTGAAGCGATAGAGAGTGGGTAGGAAACCGGAGGGCAGCAGCAGGTTCGGGGGGAGGGGGTTGACTCACGTCGAATCTTCCGAATGCTCTTCAGAACGTTCTGCGGTTTCCTCTTGCTGCTGCTTCCCTTCCCGCCCTCCTCCACTCGCTCCTCCTGCTGGCTTATTGTCGTTGCTGCTGCTGCTGGACGTCCTGTTGTTGCTGTTGCCCCGGTCGCCCCTGTCTTATCCGAGCGAGTCCTCCTCGTGTCAAACTCGTTGCGAGTGAACATGGAAGCGGGCACCGACACCACCTTACTCCATCTCGCCTTCACACTCCTCCTCTTTCGACCCCCTTCCCCCGCCTCTCCCCCATCTCCCCTCCCTCCTCTCCTCCCACCCTCCTCCCCTTCATTCCCCTCTCCCTCCTCCAGCCTTCCCAAAGGTCTACACATCTTGTATTCCCCTCCACACTTCCCACACCCCCCTGCGCCCTCCTCCCCCCCGCACCTATTCCCGCCCGCCTCCCCCCCTCCCCTTGCCCCCCCCGCGCCCCCCCTGCTGAGCCTATGCACGGGGGAGTAGACAGGGCGCCGGTTCCCCCCCACCACGCGGATTTTCCGCAGGGGCCACCCGGGGGAGGGCGGGGGGAAGGAGGGGGAGCAGAGGAAGCGCAGGGCAGCGTCAGGGGATGGCGGGGGGAAGGCGGAGAGCAGGTGGTGCGCGCTGAGCACGGGGGAGGGGAAGGACGTGGAGGGACTGGGCGGGGGGAAGGCGGAGTGGGCGGAGAGGGCGGAGAGGGCGCTGTGGGTGGTGATGGCACGGTGGAGGGAAGGGGGGATAGAGGGGGTTGTAGCATCGGATGTAGCAGCAGTTGTAGCAAGAACTGCAGCAGTGGTGGTAGCAGGGGCTGTGGCAGCAGTTGTCGCTGGGGCTGTAGCACAAGCTGCAGCAGGGGCTGTTGTAGCAGGGGCGGTTGTAGCAGAGGTGGTAGAAGAAGTGGGGCGAACAGGGATGTACTTGGGCGGTAGCAGCTTCTTGCTCGCTGCTGCTGCGGAGCTGCTGTTGCTGTTGCTGCTGCTGTTGCTGCGTGCCCTGCTGCTGCTGATCTCCCTTATGCTGATCGCTTTCACACTCGGAGATTTCGCCGTGCTCTGTGATTTCGCCGTGCTGTTGCCGCCCGCAGAAACACTACTGCCGATGCTGGTGATGCTGGTGCTCCTGCTGCTGCTAGCAACTCTACCGTTTATCTCCTTTACGCTCACTGCTTTCACGCTTGGTGATTTCGTCATGCTCAGTGACTTGACCGTGCTCACTGATTTTGCCGGTGATCTTGCTGTGCTGCTGGCCCCCCCACAAACGCTGCTGCTGATGCTGCTGATGCTGACGCTCCTGTTGCTGCTGCTCTTCGTTCCTCTCTCATTCATCCCTCTACTCTTTGCCTCACCACTGCCTTGCACACTGTCGCCTTCCACGCTGCCAGCACCACTCCGCCTCCTGCTGATGCTGCTGCCCTCGGTATTGCCACACCCGTTAGTGGCACCACTCTCTGACTCGCTATACACGCCCTCCTCGCTATAGACCGTTTCGCTGCAGCTAGTAGTGCAGTACTGGTCACACGAACGAGCAGCAACTGCATTGCCATCCCCTCTGCTGCTCACAATGCTTCCCCCCTTGCTCTTCCTCTGCTTTGTACTCGTTATTGCCCCCACAGTACCGTTTATTGTGCCCTCAGGGCTCATTATTACCACGGGCGCGGTATTCGTTATTGTCCCCTTGGTTCCACCAGTTACGCCCTTGTGATTCCTGCTGCTGCTAGAAGTGACCGCTTGGCTGCTCCTGCTGCGTCTGCTGGTGCTGCTCCCTCCGATTTTTGTGTAAGCGCTGCTGGTGCTGCTGCTACCGAGTCTTAAGTAAGTGCTGCTGGTGCTGCTGCAGTGGTTGATGATCATTGGGCTGCTGCTGCCGCTTATTGCCGGACTGCCACGTGTCTGCTTTTGAGTTGGGCTGCTACTGGCACGTGTCTGTTTCTCATTTGGGCTACTAACGCCACGTGTCTGTTTCTGATTTGGGCTGCTTATGCTACGTGTCTGGCTTGCATGGCTTGCAACGGGAGACGAACCCAAAGACCCATTGCTCCGCCTCCGCTGCTCCCTCTTCTCCTCCTGCTTCCCCTTCTGCTGCTGCTGCTGCTGCTGCTGCCACTCTCCCTCCTCCTCCTTGTCCTGTTTGTGTGATAGCTCAAACGCATCAGCAACACCAACAGCGGCAGCTGAATCAGTCCCACAGGCTACCGCAGCAGCAGCAGTGGTAGCGATAGCAGTAGCAGTGGCAGAGGCAGCAGCAGCACCTAGAGCAACTGCACCGCTCTGCACCCTTCCACACTCACTCCCCTCGCTCTCACTCCCATCCGAATCCTCCCCTCTCACGCGCTGCCTCTTCCTCACTCTCCTCTTATCTCCGCCCCCTCCTTTCCCACTGCTGCCCTTCAACGTTTTCTCTCCTACCACTCCTGCTGGCCCTTCAATGAATCCCCTTCTTCCCACCACCCTTGCTGCTACTATCCGTCCTCCCACCCTCCTTCTCTCCCTCCCGCACCCTTTCTCACTCCCCATGTTCTCGGCCTTACCGAACCGGAACACTGCCACGTCAGCAGCGGCCGGCAGGGAAAAGGGCTCGGTACGACCAGCAGTTGCAGCCGTGGGTGACGTCATCGTGGTGAAGAGAGGGAATGGCTGGGCGGCAGGTGTGGTGGAGGTAGGGTCAGGCTGGGCGGCAGCTGTGGTAGGGTCAAACCGGGCGGCAGTTGTGGTGGAAGGCTGGGCGGCAGCTTCTCGGTTTGACGCCTTGGAGTGCATTGACTGGATTGACTTTTGGGAACTTTCTGATTGGTTTGACCCCGTTGACTTGCCGGATTCGTGAGACGCGTGTGAGGCCCGAGAGTTTGCTGATCGCTTTGATCCCATTGACTGCGTTGACTTGGCCGAGTGCTTTGACCCCGTTGACCTGATTGACTTGGCTGACTGCTTGGATCCACTTGACCGGCACGAGGCATCGGAATGGTGTGGCGAAGGGAGGGGCGAAGGCACAGCTGCATCCCTGTTTTCCTCCTCCCCCACTTCGTTCTCCCCCTCGTCTCTCTCCCCCTCCTCTTCCACCTCTTCCCTTACCTTCATCTCCACCTCGTCAGCCCCATTGGTTTCATCGGCAAACTCTCCTCCCGCCTTCTCACTCCGCCTCTCGCTTCCCCCCATGCTCCGCGGGTTGCTGATCATCTCGATCTCCTCCACGTCACTCTGCTCCTCCTCCACGTCACTCTCATCCCCCTCTGCGTCGCTCTCCTCCACGTCACTCTGCTCCCCATCCACGTCACTTACGTCCTCATCCACGTCACTCTCGTCCTCCTCCACGTCACTCTCGTCCTCCTCCACGTCACTCTCGTCCTCCACGTCACTTCCGTCCACACTCTCCTCTACACCAACCGTCACCCTCTCACACGGCGGGACGGCGAGCGCAGTTTCGCCGCTCGGCGCGCTTCCTCTCGGGCTGATCATCTCGATTTCTTCCGCCTCACTCTCCGCCTCACTCTCCCCGTCGCTCTCTGCCCCCCCCTCTGCCTCCCCCTCCCCCTCCACCTCCGCTTCGCTCTCCGCCTTGCACTCCGCCTCGCACTCCGCCTCGCACTCCGCCTCGCACTCCGCCTCGCTCTCCGCCTCGTTCTCCGCCTCGTTCTCCCCCTTCGCTATCGCGAAGGGATTCACACCGCCGCCACCCGCAAGCTCCGCGGCTTCTCGTTCCGCCACCTCTCGTTCCGCCGCCTCTCGTTCCGCCGCCTCTCGTTCCGCCGCCTCTCGTTCCGCCGCCTCCCTCTGCCGCTCCCGCGCGCGTTCCGCCAGGCTCTCCTCGAGCAGCGCTATCCACTCCGCGTCCTCCTCCTCCGCAAGATGAGCCCCGCTTCCCCCTTCCGCCGGAAAGGAAGGCGCATCAGCGATACATTCCGCGCTATTCACTTCCGGAGAATGACTCGCTTCGTTTTGCCTCTCACCCTCCGCTTTCCTCGCTTCCTCTTCCTTATTCTCCGCTTCTCTCGCTTCCTCTTCCTTATTCTCCGCTCCCCCTCCTTCCTCTTCTCCAGAACGGGCATCAGCCCAGAAGCTCTCCGCGCCGCGCAGCGCGTGCGATTGCTTCTCATACCTCTCCTCCTGCTGCTGCTGCTGCGGCGGCGCTGCCTCTGCTTCTGCCGCGTTCCCCGAGGCGTCCGCATCATCTTCGCATGGCGCCTCCGCTTCCGCTTCCGCTTCCGCCTCCGCCTCCGCTTCCGCTTCCGCCTCCGCTTCCGCCTCCGCTTCCGCCTCCGCTTCCGCCTCCGCTTCCGCCTCCGCTTCCGCCTCCGCTTCCGCCTCCGCTTCCGCCTCCGCTCCATCAACCACTACCGTATCCTCCTCTTGGTCACCCTTCCCTTCCCCCGCCTCATCCTCCGCAATTCCCGCGGCCCCGTCCTCCTCTTCCTCATCTTCCCCTTCTTCCTCCTCCTCCTCCGCCTTCTCCGCCTCTTCCGCCTCTTCCGCCTCTTCCGCCAGGGCAATCAAGTCGATTTCCAGCTCCAGAAACTTATTGTCAAGCTCGCTACCCTCACCTTCGGTTTCTCCACCAACATTCAAAGTCGGACCCCGCTCACCCTTCTCCGTCTCCCGCCTCCCTCCCTCCCCTTTCTCTCCACAATCTTCTCTAGGAAACTCTACATCTGCTTCTCCTTCTCGCTCTCCTTTCCCCATCCTTTCCTCCCCTCTTCTTCCTCCTCTTTCTTCTCCCCAGTTCTCCTCAGATTCCTCCTCTCCCGCTTCTCCGTCGCTTGAGCCAAGCATCAGCACATTATTCAGCTCCAGCCGAATATCCGCCTCCTCTTCCGCCGCCATTCCCGCCAAACACGCCCGCATCTCCTCCTCCACGTCATCACCGCATGATTCACTATTAGTCACCTCGATAAGGCGAGAAAGTTCGTGTGTTGTTCCCGCTTTCATTTCTGCGTCGTCCGCCGCACCCGCGCCTTGTCCGTTCAGGCATTGCGCCACGTTTCCTGTCCCCGCGCTGCTTTCCGCCACTGCGCTGTTTTCCGCCATCGCGCTGCCTTCCGCCACTCCCGATCGCGCGAGCTCCGCGTCGTGTCCGCCCGTTGCTTTTCCAGTCGCAAATCCTCGTTCGCGGTCCCCCTCTGCGCTGCTTTCCGCTTCCGCGCAAGCTCTTTCCGCGGGTGCGGACTCCGCAGCCGACGCCAGCGGGGACGCCAGCAAGCCGCTTGGACCACTCGTTGCTGTGGGTTCGGAAGCCACGTCAGCATGCGCCTCGACTGCCGCCGTCGCCGCGTCGGCATGCTGTGATCGTGGTGCGTTCTCCGCAACGCCGTGGCGCTGTTTCTTTCCCGCGGACTTCTTACCCGCCTTCTTCCCCCGAGCCTTCCGCGCATTCTTCCGCGTGCGCTTGGTCGGAGCATCCGCAGCGACAGCAGCAGAAACGGCTCCCGGCGCGTGTAAGTCCCCCATTCGGGAGCCATCAACACAATCAGCAGGTTCGGTACAGTCAACGCAGTCAACAGAGTCATCGAGGAATCGGCGGAGCCGCGTCTCCTTCGTCTCCGTGTCAGTCTCCGCGTCTCGTTCCGCAATCGTTACCTCCGCCGTGTCTTCCGCCGCGTCCTCTGCCGTCAGCTCTCCCTCCTTCCGCGCGCTCACCGGCCCTTCCGCATCCGACTCCTCCTCGTCCACCAAAACCAGTCTAAGCCTTTGATCCTCAATCTCCTTACGCGGAACCGCTTTACCGTTGCTCTCCTCTACCATGGATGGCTTTATCTTGTATTGAAGCATAACTACTTCATCTTCGCAATCGAAGTAGCTGCCTGTACGAAGCGTTTTCGGGAAAGATTCGCCTTCCCCGAGAAATTTCTCTTTCCGATTTTCTGTCGATTTCACAGCTGCCCCAGCCGCCGCTTCCCCCAAAGTTCCTTTCCCCACGCCTGCCCGTCCAGTCAGTTTCGGCTTTTCCGCAGAGGCTCCCGCTCTACCGCGCGCGACATTGGGCTGCGGATTGCGCGCATCCGCGTTCGACGGCAGCGGCCCGAGGTCAAGAGATGGAATGGCGTTGCGCGGAAACGGCGATGGCCGCGCAGACGACGAGAGGCTCGAAGCGGGGGAGTATGCGGCGAATCCGAGTTCTTCGCGCTCTCGGGTTACAAATTCCCCGTCGATCCTCCGTTCCCGTTTCCCCGGGATTCCCGCCATGTTATCCGTCTGGACTTGCGCTGTGGCATACGCCATGGAAGCCGACACGAGCATCTCAGGAACGTTGTGGACGCGGCGCGAGGCGGACCGCGGGGAGAAGAAGGTTCGGCGAAAGCCGAGGAGTTTGGGTGCGGAGCCATCGGGATGCGCGGAGGGGGACTTTGGGGCAGGTTTGGATTTAGATGCGCCGAAAGGGTTGAATCGCGGCGTGTGAGGACTGGACGGTCGGGATCGTACGGGTGGTACGGATGTGCGTCTGTCTGTTCTTCCCGCCTCGGAGGATACAAAGTGCGACATCGTTTTCACCTGGTTTCCCCGCACGCGAGAGGTACTTCACCAGGATTTGCGGATTCAGGCGGCCATTGGTACCAGTAGACGGAAGCTACGGAGCTATGGGAGCTATTGAACAGCGAAGTAGCAGTGCCTTCGATTTTCTGTTGTTCATTACACAGGGTGAGGACGAAGGGCATGAAAGGCAAACCTCAGCTCGAGCAAGGTTGAATGGATTTCACTGGAGTGTGTCGAGGAGACGCTGCGGACGCATGGAGGGAAAGTTTGCAATGGATGGGGGCCAAATTTCTGTAGTGGAATGTGGCACGAAGGTAGGTGGAACGGCGATGGGGTGCAAGTACGGTCTCGATAAACCATCTGCCATGTTCCCCGGTGTGTCCATGCTGAATGAATTCGTGTGAAGCAGAATGTCGAATTGCTACCGCGCCGCATGTTGGGCGACTCGATGTTGGGGAAGCCCAGAGAGGAGAGTGGCGTGTGCTTGGGTTGGATCTTGACGAGACGCGTTTGGGGGAGGAGTGAAGGTGCCGCGTCGTGCTGGGCGAGGGGGAGAACGTGGGGTTGCCCTGGGCGGGATTTTCCGCATGCGGCAAAGACTCGCACGACTGACTCTAGCGGACTTCGTTGCGAAGACATTTTACAAAAGGAACAACTCAGCGAATGCAGATGTACCTCCACCTTGACTGCTTCGCAAGTAAATGAACTGGTATTGTACTGTCTAGTTAGTCAGGTGGAGCGTGCATACAGAACAGTTATTCTCTAGCGTTACCCTTTAATTACTCACTTAGCTGTATAGTTGTACTAAAACGAATTGACTGTCAGGCCGCGTGGGGAGTCACATTCAACCAGTGGCAGGAGGGGGGTGACTGTAGCCAGGCGGATGGCCTAACATGTGACAGTACCGGAATGGTTACCAGCATGTGAGTGAGACACACCCTTCGCTTCAACTCGATTCCAAGGGTCAAATTTAGATCTTTCCCTTCCCCCTCCGGAATCGCTCTTTCCCTTCCCCCTCCTTCTCTCCCTCCCCCCCGTTTTCTTTCCTGGAATCTATGAGCATGATCTTATTCTGTCATTCCATGTATGCTGTTATCGTAGGGGTAATGCGGTCACCACCTGCTTGCGTCATATCATACAATTTAGGGGGGTAGTGGACTCACCCCATGCACCATGCATCCATGCATGATGCTTACATGCAGGGTTCTGGATGAGATGGGGCTGTCAGGCTCGTTGCCAGCATCCCTCGGATCACTCATCAATCTCTCCTACCTGTACGACAATCGCACCCTGCCCTGGCCTGTGAAATAAGTGTGTTTTTGAGACATCTCAAAATCATTCATCAATCTCTCCTACCTGTACGACAATTCGTTCCCCCCACCTGTACGGCAATTGCACCCTGCCTGCCCTGCCCTGGCCTGTACGACCATCCTGACCTGGCCACCCTTCACTCATCTCCTTCCGCTTTCTTAACCCCACTTTCCCTCAGCTGACTCTCATTCGTCACGTGCATTCAATGCAAACTTATCTCGTCCTTGTATTCTCCTGCCTTATATGCTCCAGTGTTTTCTTTACCTTTTCATCCTTCCGGTGTGTGTGTATGTGCACGACTCATCCCACCTGCCTGCACGCCACCCCACCCAACCGCACTGCACCGCCCTGTGAGAGCAGTAGTCTGTGGAGCAACTCGCTCACGGGGGAACTGCCTTCCACCATCACTGCGCTGACGGCTCTCAGTGACATGTGAGTGTGTGTTACTGTGAGTGTTTGTGTGTATGTATGTGAGTGAGTGTGTGAGTGTGTGTGACTGTGAGTGTGTGAGTGTGACTGTGTGACTGTGTGTGTCACTGCCTCTTTGTAACCCCTTACCTCTTCACATCCTTGTGTTCCGCATCCTTGTTCCCCCTCTCCGCATCCTTGTCCCCCCTCTCCGCATCCTTGTTCCCCCTCTCCGCATCCTTGTTCCCCCTCTCCGCATCCTTGTTCCCCCTCTCCGCATCCTTGTTCCCCCTCTCCGCATCCTTGTTCCCTCTCTCCGCATCCTCGTTCCCCCTCTCCCCACCACAGTGTTCTCGACTTCAACCAACTCACTGGGTCACTACCACAAGGCCTCTCCACACTCTCTCGTCTCTCCAGGCTGTGAGCTACCTACCTCAATCCTCTCCTACCTGTACGACAATCGCACCCTGCCCTGGCCTGTAAAATAAGAGTGTTTTTTAGACATCTCAAAATCATTCATCCCACACTCTCTCGTCTCTCCAGGCTGTGAGTTACCTACCTCAATCCTCAATCCTCAATCCATGCTGTAAGCGGCTCAGTTCTGCTACCCTGCAGCTGAAGTTTCACTCTCACTCCTGCCACACACCTTATTCCTTCATTCATCTCCTCTGCCTCCCCACCTTTCCCCCTTTCTCCTTGCTTCTCTGCAGTGCACTGGGCAATAACAGCTTTGCCGGTTCCCTCCCCGACTGGATTGGCAGCCTGCCCTTTCTGGAAACGCTGTGAGCTGACCTCCACTCCATGCGAGGAACCTTCGGAGTCGTTGGGGGTCTTGGTGTGTTTTGAGTCGACTTAAAACACTCCTTTCCGCAGTGCCTTGGGAAGGGAAACGCTTGGATTGGCGGCTTGTCTCTCATGGAAACGCTGTGAGATGCCAGCGAACCTTTGGACCCATCGGGGGCCTCGGGGGCCTTTGGAAGCCTCAGGGGCCTTGGGGGGCACAGTGGGCACAATAATTTGCCTTCAGATATGGCACCTATGAGAGAACACGTGTCAGGATTCAGATCTCGCCTTTTGTGCCAAAAAAACTAATCCTCACATGCCTCTCCGAGGCTCGCTTTGAATGTATCCTACAACAAGGGCTTGCTGTTGCGATGAGCTGAGAGTCATCTGAACCACATCGGCCTTGTCTCATCTCCGCTCTCTTCATCCCTTGCACCCCCACGCCACGCCACGCCATGCCACGCCACCTACGAAATGACTTTTGAGTCGACTCAAAAGTCACAACGGCCTTGTCTCATCTCCGCTCTCTTCATCCCTTGTACCCCCACATGAAAAGAGGGTGTTTTTGAGACGTCCCAAAAATCTCCGATCTCTTCATCCCTTGTATTGCACCCACCCCACGCCACGCCACGCCACTTACGAAACAGTCAGAAAGATTAGCTTATGGCCCCCCCCATTACTCCCTTGTGGGTTGGGTGGGACGTCTTCTTTCTCTCCTGCTTTCCTCCTCCCACCTTCCCGTGAACCTCTACAGGGCGAAAATAACTTATCAATACCTACCCATCTCTTCCTCCCACCTTCCTTTCCTCCCACTTTCGTTCCACTCCTGCAGCAGGTTCTTGGTCTTCCGCCTTCTGCTGGTCCTCCTCCTCCCTTGGAGGGTCCACAGCCTGTCCCGTCGCAGTCACAGCTACAGCCTACCTCCCCTTTGCCTGCTCCTTCTCCCTACACTGGTCCTACTGGAGGTCTTACTGAGCGTCGTGAGCCTGCGTCTCGCCCTGCGTCGCCTGTCCGTACTGCTCGCGCTAGTGGTCGTGGTTCGCGTCCGCGTCCTCCTCCTGTCCCTGGCACGCACCGGATGTCTCTGCGTCCGTCCACTGCTCCTCTGCGTGCCCCTTTGCCTTCTCCTCCAAAGTCCTCCCTTCCTGCTCTTCCCGACCCGGAGTCGGACTCTCTTCGTGCTGCCAGTCCTACTGTCACGCGTTTCCTTGCTACTGTCGTCACTGACCCTTCTTTCGAGTCTACTGCTGCGTCTGCCCTAGTTGCTGAGCTCGTCGACTTTGCTGCTCACTGTCGCCTAGACTACGCTGCTAGTCTTGTTGCTGAGTCTGAGTCTGTCTGTCCTCCGTCCATCGGGGGTGAGTGTGCCCTTGGCACGGACGTCCTTGAGGACAGGCAGGAGGAGTTCCAGTGTCTGGCAGCTGCTTCACCTCATCTCGTGTCCGTACTGCTTACCCCTGAGGGAGACCCGGATGCACTTGACATCCCGACTCCGCGCTCTTACGCGGAGGCGATAGAGGGTCCCTACTCCTCTCAGTGGCAGGCAGCTATGGATGCAGAGATGGCTTCCTGGAAGTCCACAGGCACCTACGTTGACGCTGTCCCCCCTCCTGGGGCGAACATCGTCAGTGGCATGTGGATCTTCAGGGTGAAGCGGCCGCCGGGTTCTCCGCCTGTCTTCAAGGCTCGTTACGTGGCTCGTGGCTTCAGTCAGCGGCAGGGAGTTGACTACTTTCAGACCTTCTCCCCCACCCCGAAGATGACCACTCTTCGGGTACTGCTACACGTTGCTGCTCACCGTGACTACGAGCTGCACTCTCTCGACTTCAGCACTGCTTTCTTGCAGGGCAGCCTGCACGAGGAGATCTGGCTGCGCCGCCCACCTGGCTTCACTGGGTCTTTCCCTCCTGGTACCCAGTGGAGTCTCCGGCGTCCAGTCTACGGTCTCCGCCAGGCGCCACGTGAGTGGCACGACACACTGAGGACTACGCTTGCGGCTCTTGGGTTTGCTCCTTCTACTGCCGACCCGTCGCTGTTTCTGCGCACCGACACCTCTCTGCCGCCGTTCTACATCCTCGTGTACGTCGACGACTTAGTCTTTGCCACAGCTGACACTACTGGACTCGCCCACGTGAAGTCCGAGCTGCAGAAGAGACACACGTGCACAGACCTGGGTGAACTGCGCAGCTACCTTGGCTTGCAGATCACCCGGGACAGAGCACGCCGCACCATTACCCTGACTCAGTCACACATGGTGCAGCAGGTCCTTCAGCGCTTCGGCTTCACGTACTCCTCGCCTCAGGCCACTCCTCTGCCTACTCGCCACTCACTCTCAGCTCTGCCTTCGGATGAGTCCGTAGAGTCGAGTGGCCCGTATCCAGAGCTTGTTGGCTGCCTCATGTACCTGATGACCTGCACACGACCTGACCTTGCATACCCTCTTAGCATTCTTGCACGCTATGTTGCTCCTGGGAGACACCGACCAGAGCACATGGCTGCTGCGAAGAGGGTGTTGCGCTACTTGTGCAGTACGTCGGGCATGGGGCTAGTGCTTGGAGGGCGGAGTCCAGTGGTCCTCACTGGGCACGCGGACGCTTCTTGGGCTGACGACCAGGCTACGCAGCGGTCGTCACAGGGTTACACTTTCAGCCTCGGTGCCGACTCTGTTTCGTGGCGGGCTACTCGCTCGTCTTCTGTTCTCGGCTCCAGTTGTGAGGCTGAGATCTACGCTGGGGCCATGGCTGCCCAGGAGCTTCGCTGGCTCGCCTACCTGCTGACCGACCTTGGAGAGCCGCCTCGTTCTCCTCCAGTCCTGTACGTAGACAACAAGGCCATGCTGGCCTTGTGTCGAGAGCAGAGACTGGAGCACAGAACTAAGCACATTGCTCTTCGCTACTTCCTTGCTCGTGAGCTACAGCAGCGTGGTCAGTTGCGGCTTGCGTACGTGGCCTCTGAGGCCAACACTGCTGATGTCTTCACCAAGGCTCTTCCGCCTTGTGCTCATCAGCGCTTCTGCACTCAGCTGGGTCTTGTCCCTGTCTTGCCTCACTTGCTCACCCCTTGACCTTGCTTGTACTGTTACATATATATATACCTGCTCTTGCTTGTCTAGCCTTATCTATATATATATGTACTCCTGCATGTGAACTGGCCTTCTGGCCTTGAACTTGTGCTCAGAATGTGTGGTGACGTTGTGATCCACCCTGAGCTTGCCTTGCTTTGCTTTGCTTGACTGGTCTTGTGACCCCTTGTTCTCCCCCACTTTGCCTATGGGGGTGTGTCAGAACGTTATAGCTTATACTTTTGTGTAGGCTGTAGTGGGGTATCCCATAGGGGGTACAACCCAATTAGGGTTAGTACTTGTACCCACTTCATTCATAGTTCATCCACTCTTGTTTCTTCTCACATTCCGCTTGCGCCTACCAGGGTAGATTCATAACGCCTTCCAGGTGCAGCTTATTAAACCCTATCGGGATCCAAATAAGTTGTACACGGGACGCCAACCTCCGCCACCGCCTCCAGTCCTCGTAAATGATGAACCTGAGTACGAGGTTGAATCTGTGCTTGCACATCGTCGTCGTCGGCATGGCGCCCTGGAGTTTCTCATACGCTGGAAGGGCTATGATCATTATGAGGACAGCTGGGTCTCTGAAGAAGACATGAGTAACGCCCGACGTTCTCTCCGCGACTATCTTGTCAAGCAGGGTGTTACATATACCACCCAGCTTTGAGGGGGGGAAGTGTGAGAGTACGCCGACGTTCGACATATTTCTCATTTCTATATTTTTACTCTATCTTATTCTCCTTATTTTCCTCTTTCATTTGCACTTGATTTCACATCAATCGGACTACTATTCTATTTTCTAGCGCTTTCCGATTATTTCACTTATTCTGTATTTTCGGCACCGACATTTTCATTATACGGCACCGACAGCACCGACGGTGGTGTACGATGCGTAATCTTGCCATAATCCGAAGTGCCAAAGGGCTTGCATGCTTATGCGCACTTGTGATTATCTATTCTAGAAGAGCGTGTTCCCGAAGGTTCGGATTATCTTTTGTGTCTATGTATTTCTGAGTATAAATACGCTTTGTACTCACCTTTAGTGCAACATTCTCGAGTGGAAATTCGATCCTGTGACACTCGCGTGCCTGTGAGTTGCCACCTGCATAGATGAAACACACCTCGACTCGTCCTCAAAAGTGGTGCAAACGTTGCTTCTCCTCAGTCGAAACTTCCCCGCTTCCCTCGGTTCTCTCACCACACGCCTCGTGTCTCGTCTCTGAGAGTTCCAGGCTCCAGGTGTACACATCTTTTTTTTCTGCCCTAAAACGTGCATACTCACTGTGTTTACTGCGCATACACCTTCGTGCCTTCTTTGTTGCCCTCCCTCATCCCGCGTGCAGTATCGTAGACAACACATCCCTCACCTGCCCCTCCACCCCAGCCTCCTGTGATGTGCCTCAGGACCCTCTATCCGTCTTCTGTGTCGACTGCCCCACCTTCTTCTTGAATTCCACCATCCCCCGTCCTTGTTTCCCTCCCTCATTCCCCTACCACGCAGTAACCTCGACAACACATCGCTCACCTGCCCCACCACCCCAGCCTCCTGTCCCGCCTCCACCATCCCAACCACCAGCTGCAGCACCAGCAGCAGCACCACCCGCAGGGCCACCATCACCAGCGCCAACGCCACCATCACCACTATCTCCTTCCATCAGCCCATCCACCCCATCCCCACCATCCCCACCAACAACAACAACAACACCACCATCACCAGCACCACCACCACCAGCACCAGCACCGAAACCTGCCTCGCCAGTGGCTGTGAGAGCCCTCCACGCCAATGCAATGACGGCTTTCGTGCTAGCCCTCCTGATTGCTGCCTTTTAATGCGAGTTGATGTCAATATCAACATGATTTTGTGAAGAGTATGACTGTATGATGAGCTATATTTATTGTTGTCAATTGCTTAGCATAATTACTTCGTTCTCAGCTAGTAAACACAAAATTAAGGTGAACATAGGAGGTGGGATCTGCGCATGGTGGTGTTTCTGCTAGAAGCTATGCACACCTTGCACCTCCATTCTTCGTTATTAGTTTGTATTGCCATTTTTTGAACCTCTACGTTCATCACGTCTGTCATAGAACAGTGTACTGTTGCACATTGGGCGAGGTTGTATGTGCCACATCAGAATTTGCGAGGAAGCCGATGGTGCACCAACACCAGCGAAGTTCGTCCGAAAACGAGGTTGGATCAAGCGGGTCGCATGCGTGTGTGGGACTTCGCGATTCGGGTGAGCGTACAACCATCGAAGTCGCTCTAGTCAACGGAGAAAGTCACGCCCGTGTATCCTACCCTTTCCGCTGAAGGGTTCTGTTCGACTGGCGCTGGTACCCGAGCCTAAACCCTGATGCGCCAGTCAAACAGGGCCCAGGAGTTTTCCACCACAAGCTCCCCCCACCACTTTGGCATGGAAACTTCCAGCAACCTCCAATGTTCGTCGTGACGTGACAGCCACGGAAGTTGAGGCGCAGGTGTTGACCAACACAGACCAATCCGATATCGTATTACCCTCTCTCACGTCACTGACACAAATCGTACTTCATCGTTCAATGATCACTTTATCTTCGTGTCGAAAGCTCTATCTTGTGCCGCACAAGATCATCAAACCCTAACTTGTGTCGGCGGCCGACACGACTTGCGAATAGCCTTTTCAAGACCCCTGGTTCCGCCTTTCCGCCACTCGCTCGCGTGATTTTCACAGCCGTGACTCACTGAGTTAGCATGGGTCCAAAGATGGGTGCATTTCCCACAATAGTGGCACTTTCCTTTCTCGTCACGCTCATGACAATGCTTCCGGCGGTTTGGGTCGCCCTAGGAAGCAGCGAATCTGTCTCCGCCGCACGAAAAGCGTCGCCTGAAAGCGTGGCGACGAGTGGTAGTAAGGATGCGCAGGGATTTAGTTTCCCTCGGCGGGCAATACGGCGTCTAATGCGGGGACCCAGCGACCAGATCTCCGTATCTCCCTCTGAAACCCTCGCATTGCAGCCGAACAGCGCTTCTGCAACTCCGGCGGGGGTCCAGCAGCCCACCGCTCTCCCTTCCGCCGCTTCCGCCGCCCCCCCTCCGGGGGCAAGCCTGAGGCTCATTCCCCTTCGTGGCGCGAGATCTGCGCGAACCGCCGTGTCGCCATACGCAACAGTACCGAATTCTACTGTAACGACCCAGAGCGCGTACGCGACGCGGTTCGTCCCTCTCAAGCCGCGCCTCGGGAAGCTTCAGCACCAGCAGCAGCGGCGCGAGGTGGAGGGCGCGACGGACATAGCGAACCAGGACGGCCCGATACTGGTCTATTCGAAGGAGTACTTAATGTACTATGGGACCTCGACCGAGGGGTCCGGCCAGGATGTGATTGGAAAATTCAAAAATTCGTTGGGCGGAGACACGGGGAACCGGGGCGACCCGGCGGGGGAGAACAGTGTGCGTAGTAGTTGGGACATGTCGACCAACTCCTACCAGACTAACGACGACGGCTCTCAGCCGTTCGTCAGTCCCGAGGTGGGTGTGTATGATAACGCCCTAAGCCCCGTGTCCCTAGTAGTAGTCGACGCGTAACGTGTCGCTTCATTTTTCGTCGCCACCAACTGCCTCTCGCCTCACATCGTTTCGATCCATTCAGTTCACTTCGCTTCCCATTCTCTCTGCTCTCGCCCAACACACCCCTCACCCGAATTCGAGACAGGTCATGTTGAACAACACGGTCACGGACGACTGTTTTAACGGCTGGGAATCCATCGACGGCACTTTCACGGACGACGGATCTGACGGCTGGGAATCCTCCGATTATAGGCCGAGTGAGTCATGCGCGCGATTTTACTGTTGGGAATGTGTATGTCACTGGAGATAATCCTTAAAGTGGATCCAACGGCTGCAAAATCATCTAAACGGGGATGAGTGAGTGATTTTGCTACTGGAACTTACAGCAAAACAGGACCGAACCGAGGTGACTTTTGAGTCGACTCAAAAGTCACCTTGCTGCTGGAACTTGCAGAAAAACAGGACCGAACCACGCTTGACTTCGACTCATGCTGGTCTCTCCTGCCGTGATTGCGTGCTGTGATTGCCTGCTGTGATTGCCTGTCGTGATTGCCTGCTGTGATTGCCTGCTGTGATTTCCTGCTGTGATTTCCTGCTGTGATTGCCTGCTGTGATTGCTTGCTGTGATTGCCTGCTGTGATTGCTTGCTGTGATTGCTTGCTGTGATTGCTTGCCTGCTGAACTAACGTCTGCCGTGATTGCCTGCTTCCTGCTGTCCCTCGCCCGCCATTGTTCTCCAGTCTACACGCAAGACACTTACGGAATCTACCTCGTGCTCGCGATCGCTTGTTGGCTACTAATAGCCCTTAGTTCATTCTATGCGTTCTACTTAAAACCCGCGGGCCAAGTTCAACGTTAGGGAAGGTTCTAACTCACGCAATGAGATCTCCACCTGACCGCTTCGAAGGGTCCACAGTTCTATAGATATCCTCCAACTGAATACGCACTAGAGTAGTCCCACACTTAAATGCGCAGAGTCTTGTTGATCACTTGTCTCGTCGCAAGAAAAACTATTCACGTCAATACTACGTTGATAGAGGAACCTTCTCCCATGAAAGATGTATTCATGAAAGTTGTTCACAAACAAAGACAAGCAAAAAGGTATGCTAACCCACCAAAAGCAGAAGCAAAGATTTATGAAGGTGCGAGTTGTTTTTTTTTTTTCTAGTCGACTCTTCCCGCCACCCTCGGTTCCCACACCACACTCGATTACCTGTGAGTAGCCACCTGCGCAGTGCCAGTAGCTTCTGAGAATTCTCTGAGGTCAAATCTACCCGCCACTCTCGGTTCCCGCAGAGCTGCATTTTCTCACTACCCTTGCCTACGTGTGAGCTGCCTTGCCACCTGCACACAGAGAAAACAAATCTCGACTCGACCTGTGAGTGTTCAGCGATTTTGTGTGTGAGTTGCTTTTCCATATGCGACTCTTCCCGCCACCCTCGGTTTTCCCACCACCCTCGCCTACCTGTGAGTTGCCATGCCACCTGCACACAGAGGAAACGAAGCTATTGTGTGAGTATTCCAGTTGTCTCCCTGTGACTCCCCTCTGGAAATACTTCTCTGGAGTTGTGTGAGTTGACTCCCCTCTGGAAATACTTCTCTGGAGTTGTGTGAGTTGACTCCCTTCTGGAAATACTTCTCTGGAGTTGTGTGAGTTGACTCCCCTCTGGAAATACTTCTCTGGAGTTGTGTGAGTTGACTCCCCTCTGGAAATACTTCTCTGGAGTTGTGTGAGTTGACTCCCCTCTGGAAATACTTCTCTGGAGTTGTGTGAGTTGACTCCCCTCTGGAAATACTTCTCTGGAGTTGTGTGAGTTGACTCCCCTCTGGAAATACTTCTCTGGAGTTGTGTGAGTTGACTCCCCTCTGGAAATACTTCTCTGGAGTTGTGTGAGTTGACTCCCCTCTGGAAATACTTCTCTGGAGTTGTGTGAGTTGACTCCCCTCTGGAAATACTTCTCTGGAGTTGTGTGAGTTGACTCCCTTCTGGAAATACTTCTCTGGAGTTGTGTGAGTTGACTCCCCTCTGGAAATACTTCTCTGGAGTTGTGTGAGTTGACTCCCCTCTGGAAATACTTCTCTGGAGTTGTGTGAGTTGACTCCCCTCTGGAAATACTTCTCTGGAGTTGTGTGAGTTGACTCCCCTCTGGAAATACTTCTCTGGAGTTGTGTGAGTTGACTCCCCTCTGGAAATACTTCTCTGGAGTTGTGTGAGTTGACTCCCCTCTGGAAATACTTCTCTGGAGTTGTGTGAGTTGACTCCCCTCTGGAAATACTTCTCTGGAGTTGTGTGAGTTGACTCCCCTCTGGAAATACTTCTCTGGAGTTGTGTGAGTTGACTCCCCTCTGGAAATACTTCTCTGGAGTTGTGTGAGTGACTCCCCTCTGGAAATACTTCTCTGGAGTTGTGTGAGTTGACTCCCCTCTTCAGCAATTGGAGAGACGCTTCTGATAAAGGAAGTGCTCTGAGATGTCTCGAAACAATTCTCCACATCCTACTCTTCGCGTCACCCCCCCCCTCCCCCCCCCCAAGACCATACTCTCGTCTTCCCTGCCATACGCTGTGCCTAAACTTCCCTCCCTTTATCCATCTTCACTCCCTCAACCCACCGTGCAGTAACGCAGACTAGACAACACATTGCTCACCTGCCCTACCACTCCAGCCTCCTGTGAGGTGCCTCAGGCCCGCTTTCTGGCTTCTGTGTTCTTCATTCACATACATTCATGATTCCTTGTTTCCCTCCCTCATCCCCCCACCATGCAGAAATGTCAACAACACGTCACTCCTCTGCCCCACCACCCCAGCCTCCTGTGAGGTCCCTCAGGAACCCACTCTCCGTCTTCTGTGTCGAACTTCCCACCCTCTGCGCCACCTTCTTCTTGAACTCCACCTTCCCCCGTCCTTGTTTCCCTCCCTCATTCCCCTACCACGCAGTAACATAGACAACACGTCCCTCACCTGCCCCACTACCCCCTATCCGCAGCCTCCTGTGTTGTCCCGCAGGACCCCCTATCCGTCTTCTGTGTCGACTGCGACACCTTCTGCTCCCAGTGCTCTGCTGCGGGTAAGCCTAAGCCTCTCTGCTTCCTGCCACAGCTCACGTCACTCACCTATGTCTCAAAAGAGCTCCCAGCGACCTCTATGTCTAAAAATTCTGCTCCCAGCGACCTCTATGTCTAAAAATTCTGCTCCCAGCGACCTCTATGTCTAAAAATTCTGCTCCCAGCGACCTCTATGTCTAAAAATTCTGCTCCCAGCGACCTCTATGTCTAAAACTTCTGCTCCCAGCGACCTCTATGTCTAAAAATTCTGCTCCCAGCGACCTCTATGTCTAAAACTTCTGCTCCCAGCGACCTCTATGTCTAAAAATTCTGCTCCCAGCGACCTCTATGTCTAAAACTTCTGCTCCCAGCGACCTCTATGTCTAAAAATTCTGCTCCCAGCGACCTCTATGTCTAAAAATTCTGCTCCCAGCGACCTCTATGTCTAAAACTTCTGCTCCCAGCGACCTCTATGTCTAAAAATTCTGCTCCCAGCGACCTCTATGTCTAAAAATTCTGCTCCCAGCGACCTCTATGTCTAAAACTTCTGCTCCCAGCGACCTCTATGTCTAAAAATTCTGCTCCCAGCGACCTCTATGTCTAAAACTTCTGCTCCCAGCGACCTCTATGTCTAAAACTTCTGCTCCCAGCGACCTCTATGTCTAAAAATTCTGCTCCCAGCGACCTCTATGTCTAAAAATTCTGCTCCCAGCGACCTCTATGTCTAGAACTTCTGCTCCCAGCGACCTCTATGTCTAAAAATTCTGCTCCCAGCGACCTCTATGTCTAAAAATTCTGCTCCCAGCGACCTCTATGTCTAAAAATTCTGCTCCCAGCGACCTCTATGTCTAAAAATTCTGCTCCCAGCGACCTCTATGTCTAAAACTTCTGCTCCCAGCGACCTCTATGTCTAAAAATTCTGCTCCCAGCGACCTCTATGTCTAAAAATTCTGCTCCCAGCGACCTCTATGTCCAAAAATTCTGCTCCCAGCGACCTCTATGTCTAGAAATTCTGCTCCCAGCGACCTCTATGTCTAAAAATTCTGCTCCCAGCGACCTCTATGTCTAAAAATTCTGCTCCCAGCGACCTCTATGTCCAAAAATTCTGCTCCCAGCGACCTCTATGTCTAAAAATTCTGCTCCCAGCGACCTCTATGTCTAAAAATTCTGCTCCCAGCGACCTCTATGTCTAAAAATTTTGCTCCCAGAGCTCCGCTGCGAACGTTAACCCATGCCTTCCTCCCTCCTCCCGCTCATGGCTCACCTATGATTTTCAGACTTTCAGAAAAGGCCATTCAAACTTTTCAACCGTTTCACTTCCTCGCCCTGGCCATAGTCATTCAAATATCTACTTGTGCCATGTCTACTCTGACTCGTTCTTCAAACTGCACAGCACAGTGTATCACTTGCCACGCCAGCTGCTCTTCTGCTTGCCAGCCTCTCCTCCCCCGCCCCTCCTTCCCCGCCCCTCCTTCCCCACCCACTCTTCCGCCCTCCCTCTCCTCCTTCGCCTGCTATCAAACCCATCTCCCTTGTCCCCTTTCATCCACCCTTCTTTCCAAGTCACCCGATTCCGCGATTCCTTCGCTTCTGTTTCTTCCCAGGCGGTTCCATAGTTTTGTCCCTTGCCCCGTAGCTTGTTGCATGACTGGAATCTGTCATCCCCTTCCCCTCCCCTCCATGCCTGCTATGCTCAACTCAAAGCTCCGCAAGCCCTGCCGAACCAGCCGCCAGCAGCAGCACCATCAGCAGCAGCACCAGTACCTTCACCAGTACCGTCAGCACCATCATCATCACCATCACCATCAGCAACAGAACCATCGCCACCATCCCCACCACCATCTGCAGCACCATCAGCAACCCCACCAGCCCAGCAGCGTCACTATCACCACAATCTCCCTCCATCAGCCCATCAGTCCGAACCCCACCATCCCCACTACCGCCACCACGAACAGCACCTTCACCATCGCCCCCACCCACCACCAACACCCAAACCTGCCTCGCCAGTGTCTGTGTGAGCCCTCTACACCAATGGAATGATCGTTTCCTTGCTAGCCGTCATTATTGTTGTTTTTAAATGTGAGTGATTTTTTACACGGTTGATAATATCTACATGGTGAGTGTTTCGTAATGGGGCATGGGCTATGTCAGTGTGTTAAATGTTTGCATCGGTAATTATTCATCTGCTTGGAGCTGCTGGTCAAATAGAATGTATTGTTGAATCGAGGAGAAGGGAGCTGAGGTCGATGGTTCCCCATGGAAGCTGAAAAAACTTTGCTTCGGACCGCGCATCACCCCAGGAAATCAACTTTTGATTTTTTCACTCGAAGGGACTCACGCACCTTAGCCCCTAGGAGCCGCTGTCCTCGCGTTCTCTCATAAACACGTGCAGCCACAACTGCGCCTAGACTAAGCCGAGCCGACGCCCTTCGTAATGGCCGAGCACATCGATGTCACCACTCTCACGCATGAGCGTCTGGACGAGCTGCTGCAGCAACTTCGCGAAAGCTCTGAAGAAATCGCGGCGCTGACGGCAGAACGCACGTCCCTGCAAAATGACGTCGCACGAGCACAGCAAGCACAATCTCAAGCACCTGGCACTCCGGTACAGCCCGCACCACAGACATCGCAACATGGAAGCGAGCGCGGCCAGTGATGGCGTCGTCCGCCACGACGGAGACGACGACCACGGCACGACACACCCCGAAGTGACGAATGCGGCCAGGAGTCAGCCTCGCGTCACGATTTCTGTGCCGGCCGGCGAATCAGCACTACCGTCGCCGATGCCGCTGAAGCCGCAGCGTCCGCCATGCTTTG